GAGCAGTGCAAGCCTATCTGAACTTGCAATTTCGCTTTCAAATATATCTTTTCCATAGCAAATATATCTGACCATTTGTATTCTATTTCAGAATGTCCTTATATGTTTAGGGCGACAGGAACCAGAAGGAAATAAGACGAAACTCACCGAAGGTGATGCAGTTTTATTTTCCTGATTCCGTTTTTGAAATGTCTACATTTCAAAGAGCTCGAAGTTTTCCTCAATCGTCTGCTCTTCTTGTTTGAACGATTTGAGGACTCATTGCATGGGCAACATTATGGCTCCAGGGTGGGAGGTGGGAAACCCTGTAGCTGAGCAAAAGCTCAGTTATTGTCCCGCCCGCCCGCCCCTTTTTCACCTTCCTGTCGGGGTGTGGAGGGCCCGATGTGTTCGAGCACAGCTCAGCGACCATCGGTGCTTCTTCTTGTGCAAACCAGACTTTTGCCTTTCCCCATCGCAAAAAGAAGGCTTCCGAGTGTTCTTGCAATTTCGCTTTCAAATATATCTTTTCCATAGCAAATATATCTGACCACTTATATTCTATTTCAGAAGGCCCTTATATGTTTAGGGCGACAGGAATCAGAAGGAAATAAACAATGTTTAGAACGAAGAGGGAGCTTTTGCCTCGCAAGCTTCTCACATGTTCTGCGGCTCCAACAAGATCCCTGTCCTCCTCACTCTACAGACCCAAAGCCCCTAAGTCCTCAGCCCCGAGCTTCCATAGAATCCCAACACTCATGTCAGCTACCACAGCGCCACAACGGGACCCTGACGCCTTAAGCTGTGCGATGGACTATGACCTGGAGCGCGCTGCGCGACAGCATCGCCTGCAACAGCTCCATGGGGCGATTCGAATCGGAGTCTCAGAGCGGCTTGTTCATGCTAACACATTACGAATACGGTTTCTAGTACAGTATTAATATTAATAATAGCGATAACACTGCTGTTACTAGTACTACTAATAACAGTCATAATAACAAAGATAACAATAGCAGTAAGAAGAAGAATAAGCAGGATAATAATACAAATCGTAAGAGCAACCACATCATCAACAACAACAGCCACACCAACAGAAACAACAAAAGCAACTGCAGCAACCGCAACAACAACAAGAGCATACAAAACAACCTCAGCAGCAACAACAACCACCCCAGCAGCAGCAGCTGCAGCAGCAACAACAACAACATCAGTAACAGCGACATTAAGAACATTAAGATTCCAGTGATATCACAATAACGATAATATCACAAGAGTGTACTAATGTACCAATGTACGAATGTACTAATGGTTTCAGAGTTAAGGCTTTTTCGACGGGGTGGGGTTGAGGCCGTAGCCTCTCCTCAAAGACTTACTTAGGCATTGTGCTGTCCGGGCTAACCTTTGTTCTTTCGTTCGTGGGTCATTTCGTCGGACTTGTCCTCAATAGGCTTTGCTTCAGTTTGGTCACTTTTGTGGTTACGGTGTCGTTTACGGTGTTGTGCTTATCGTTGTCATTATTCGTGCTGGTCTTCAGGTTCCCCGGGCTTGGCAATACAGGTGTGCGGATGGGCTCAGATGTTTGTTTTGTGTGTTTGTACATGCTCAGCTGGAGGGTGTGGTGGGCCCCGAACAAAGGGTTTGGTCATGTTCAGGCACTTGACAGGACAAGGGAGATAAGCAGTGGCACGAAGGCAGGAGAAAGTGAGGATGAAAAGGTGTAATTGACGATTCAGGCTTGGGCTTAGGTTCGTAGGGTATGCGACCTTAAACGCGAAGCCAAAGATAAGTCCCAATCCTAAATTGTCAACCGTAGTCCTTGGCCATAAATACTAAGCCACAGCAGGAGGAAGCAGCAGATTGTTTTTGACGACGACTTCTACCCTGGTAGTCGCCAACTGTTTGTTTCTGCATTGAGGCACAGCAGAGGCCGCGGCTGCAGGAGGAGCAGAAGAAGGCATTCACCTTGGCAGGGATGCTGGATACTGAAGATGAGGCTTCGCCTCCATGCGTGTTGGACCAAGCCGACGACTCATGTAGCCTGCCTCGTTCCTGTTATAAAGGACCAGAACTGAAGGATGGCACTGTAGCTCAAGCGTTGCTTAGTTTTAAGTTGCACGGCTGCAGCCAGTGCCTGTTGTGGCAGGAACCGCTGCGCCATGCAGCGCACTGTCCTGCATGTACTACTTGGCATCTCATCCGTTTGCTGAGCATTGGCTCCCATGAAATCTCGAGCGTCTTTGCTGGATCAATCTGGCCCGCACCGTAGGCTCGGCCAGTCCGAAATCGCATCAGTTGGGCCACAACATCTTTTGAGCACTTGCTACGTCCAGCAGCCCATCCGACAGCAGCAGCAACTCACATCAACGGTTTCGCAAGGTACACTGAAGAAGTTATAGAGTTCTTTGGCCACGAACTTATGGTCTCGACCATCTTTTTAGTTTCTTGGGTACTCACTTCGCCCAGACCATCTTTTAGACATGAGGGTTCTTTGAGCAGCTTGTGTGGGAGCCGTCATCTTCTCCATGAAAACCTGACATCTCATTGTCTGGCAGTGGTTACGGAGACTGTGCTTCCATAGCGTATGCGCATCTACGTGCTTGAAGCGGCTGTGAGTGACTACTGCTACTACTGCGATTACTACTACTACTACTACTACTACTACTGCTGCTGCTGCTGCTGCTGCTACTGCTGCTGCTACTACTGTAGTAGTACTACTACCACCACTACCACCACTGCTCCAAACCCCAACCCTGAGCCTTGAACGTCCCCTGCCAAGATCCACATGCCATGCGCCTCCCAGAGCAGGTTGCCGCGGAGAGTTTGGCTTTTGGCTTTTAGAGTTTATGGCGGTTGAGTTTAGGATTTAAGGACCAAGGGTTTTTCCGATAGGGTTTATGGTTAGAGCTTGGGGCATCGGGGCTGATCTTTCTGAGGTTTCAGGCTGCGAGCAACCGGGAAACCTAGCAGTTAAAGTGGGTCGTCGGATTTGTTGCGGGAACTTGGCCTCACAGGCGTCAGACTCGGTTTCTGGAGCGGTGCAATGAAAAGCCAAATATGTAGAATGTAGAAAACACGATTGTAATCGTCATCACCATCAGCACCACCATCAGCATCACTATCATCGTCATCGCAGTCATCATCTTCTTCATAATATTCATCATCATCGTCATCGTCATCATCATCATCATCATCATCATCATCATAATCACCCATATCATTACAGTTATAGGCTCTACTCTGAGGATACTGTTTGTCGTCATTCGGTTCGAGGTGAAGGCCTGGAATCAAATCTATGGGGACTGTGCCATGGGTGCAGGCGAGTACGCAAACGGAGTGGGCCGAGCTCTCAGCTGAATCGAGGGCTGGCGATATCGGGTTTTACAGACACTCAATTAAAGCCAAAACCGTAAAACGAATCCTGTTTGTGAGTCCATCTTCCTGTTGCACACGCCAACTTGGCATTGTGCCATTTGGAACAGCAGCTCCTCCGGGTTCTGCAAGAGACGTCGAGTTCAAAGTTAGGGCAGAGTTCGAAAAACCCAGAGATGGCTAGTTTCGTCCAGTTTCGTCCCGGCCGGAGGCCGAATGAGGGACTCTTGGGCTGCAGGTAAGGGGATTACGTGGAAGGTACTAAGTTTAACCATCAAGACCCCAGAGGCCTGTAGCCTTGGCAGATTCCCGGGATTGCGCCGTGAAATTCTCTCCCTGCCAGCTGTTCAAGCTCCTCAGAGTGCTGGCGCTTGGTGTTCTTGGATCCGTTTACCAAGGTGCAAGGTTCTTGGCTACCTGCAGCTCCGGGGCTTCGCCATGCCTCCTCCCTAGAAGTTGCCTGACCCGCTGAGCTGCTCTGAGCTTCTTTGTGAGGTCTTTGTTCCAACGGGCTCTTTGCCAACTTCATACCATTCCGAGTTCCCGGGTTTCAGAGAGCAAGGACCCCTAAGCAATAGGGTACCCCCCGGCAGGCTTCGGTTTGCCTCTTTTTGCGGTTTGTGGTCTTATCATGGGGCCTTGCAGGATCCTATTTTCATGTGGCAGCTACTGTAGCTTCACCAACTTTTTCCCTAACCCAGGCCGGGGTGTGGATATTTGCCGACATCTCTTTCCGCCATTATAATGGATTGCGGTTTGCCACCCATCCTGTTGGGGTGATCTCTTTTAAAGTTCCTGTGTTTATTCGGATTCCCATTTGGTGCAATCAGCACCTCTTGAGTAGGATCCATGTTCGGCGTTTTTGCGCTTACTGGCCGTGGTGTTGCCAGGGTGCTTGAAAACAAAAGCACAGCTTCGCCACACGGTTTCCCAACAACAAGTGACGTCCAATCTCATCATCGAGGGAGTCCGGGCAAGCCAGAAGGACGGCCCTCTGTAAGATTTGTGCTCAAGAACTAGCAATTGCCGCTGCTCTGTCCACACGCCATGCGCGCGAAGTTCTGGAGCTTTGTGGCGACGATTGTCGTGGCAGCTCTCCCAAACGACACGGACACAGACCCGACATGCAAGCACGAGGCTCGTTGTGCAGCTGATGAGTTGCTCACAGTGTCTGATGTCGGCAATCTTCGCGTTGCTATTACCATGAAGGATCTGATTTTTGAAGGAAAGCATCGGCTCTTGACTTGCCGGCTTGAACTCACAGGAGATGACATGGGGTGCTCGAAGTTTCTGAGATCCCAAACTCCATGTTTGGTGATTCCATTGTTACTCCGTGTTCTTCTCACAGCCGCTTCGTTCTTAAAAGCCAGTCTTGGTCGTTCGTCATCTGGAATGGCTCGTGTGCTGTGCTGAAAGCCGATCGTGCCCAGAGACTGCTGATGGACACCCCATCTTAAATGAGATAGAGTAGCCACGCTCACAATCCACCGTACAATTAGAGGACTCATAAATCGGTATCAAATCTTGCAGCACCTAGATGGACGGACCTGCTTTGCCTTTGCGGAGAGTCTGTCTGCAGAGGGCGTTTGTGCGGTCAGGATGATGCTACGAAGTTGCTACAGATCGCCAGCGGTGACGGGAAGCTGTACGAGAAGCTGTGCGACTGTAAGGACCCAGGGAAGCCGTGATTTGCAGGCCGTACCCCTCCGGCCGGAAGTATACTCAACATGTGTGAGATGAAGGAAGCCGTGCAGCATGTGCCCAGTGTTGATTGAATGTATTCATTCAGGGGTATATGTCCATGTATACATTTATACATATATATATATATACACACACGCACAACTCTGGCAAAAAGCCACATCTTCTCCTGCCTATATACGTTTCAGGGTTTAAGACGTTCTAAGGGTTGAGATGGTCGCGCAGCTGCTGTTGTCAGTGAATATGTAACTGATTGCTAGTGATTGACCATGTTGCTTCCTATTGTGCTGTTAGTTTTTGATTTCGACTATTGATTCCGGGGGGAGCACCCAGTCGATATTTTACGATTGAAAACAACGCCCGGTTCAAGAACACTAGAACTTTATTGATTCTAATCAATGTCGGGGTATTTCCCCACATGTAGTGACATCATTCAGATGGGATTCAGGATGATTCCCTCGTGTAGTGAAACCATTCCCAATCTTCTGCCCATGTATATATATATATATATGTGTGTGTGTATACAAATAAATATATACATATATATGTATATATGTATATATGTAACCACCTGCGCAGCGCCCGGACTGAGCGGGCCCACCAAAGGATTCATAACTCGCGACCAACGTGAAGCCCACGTATTGCGGAAGATCAGACACGCAGGCATCACCGAAAAGTTGTCATTTCGAGGCCAGTGTCACGAACACTGTCTTGGAATTTACGCTTCCTTGTCCTGCTGTCAGCGCGATCCGTTGTAAATTGAAATACATAGCACATAGGCATCATGTCGAGTCCGGGCTTTGCCTGTGTAGTGCAGCGTTGATTTTGGCTTCTACTTCTGAATCTTGCCAATATATGCCGGAAGAATTTCGGTTTTTGTCTGACAAATCCCAAAGACATGGGGTAAAGCATGTTGGCAACGGCGTCCTGGTGTTCTCCTGCTAGTCGGTGATCTCCTGGTGATTCCTCCTTGTGGCCTGGGAATTTATAGAGTTTATGGAGAAATTTACAAGAGGATTTGTTTCTATTTCGATGAATGGGTGGATGGATGAGTGAGTATATGCAGGAATGAATGCACGGGAGGATGGATGGGTGGGTGGAAGGGTGGATGGTGAATGCGTGGATGAGTGGACGGATGGACGGATGGATGGCTGGATGGTTGGATGGACGGCACGATGGATGGCCGGATGGATCGATGGATGGATGCAGGGATGAGATGAGCTGCGATGATGTTCGGTGTTGCCCCGCTGCTCCAAACGCCTTCGGGACTCTCTACATTTTGTATGTAGGTCTCCTTCAGCAGATTAGACGGAAACAGAGGTATATCAAGTGTTCATCAGTGTTACATGCAACATGGGTTGCTTGTCCAATCGCATGTGGAGTGGGACGGGTCTCTGGGACATTAGGAATTTAGGAGCGCCAGTCAGTGTTAACTGGGTTTAGGGTTTAGGCTGTTCCTGGGGTGGAAGCCAGCAGGACGCATGCCCATCAACCGTTCGCGATGCTTCGAAGATCTTGTTGACCCTGGGCGAGGAAGAAGCTGCCTTGCTTCGTATGTTGCATTCCCATCTTAACATACCCATAATGGTTTCAATATCTCAGGAAGAGCTGCGTGGAACACCATGGCTCAGAGTGTGAGCTGTTGAGCTCACGCATGTTCACTAGCTCGCTGGTTTCGGATCCGTACGCTGGCATCAGCAGCCTGTGCAAGCAGATCAAGTCCTTCGGTGTGAGGATGGAGCCAAAGGCAACATCATCTGCTTTGGCAGAAGAGCTGCGCACGCGGCGCGAACGCTCAACCAATGCTCATGCAGCAGTTCTCTCTGACCTGAACAAGGCTGCAGTCGGCAAAGACATGACATTCTGAGCGTTGTGGCGACGGTTGCACTAATTCCCTCTTCCTGAGCTTCTGGTTTCGTGCCCAGAAAATCGGCTTCAGAGCAAGATGCAAGCACCACAAGTGTGCATTCCCATCTTTGTAGCAGGTCAGTTTTGGTGCTTTGTATCTGCCGCAGCTGCCCACCGAACCAGTGGCTCGCGAAAAGCGTTTCAGCCGTTGTCAGCTGTTGCTCTCTCCCTCTCTCTCCCTCTCTCTCGCTCGCTCCCTCCGCTTCGAGAAATGCATGCGCAGCTGCGCAGCAGTTGAGGCCTTTCCAGGCACAGGCATTTGCCACCAAGGTTTTTACCAGAGAGACGATTCAGGATGCCCGTCATCGTAGTCCATTGACAGTTTCGTCCGGGGGTACGACGGTCGAGAGGTCCCCCCTGTCTGGCTAGTCGCCCCGTGTTCTTTCAAGAGACTCTTCCATGCTGTTTCTGACCGAAAACAAATCGGCCCTTTAAGACTTTTCGTTTCGGAGGACCGCAGCAGTCGAAACGTGTTCCTTCGTTGAAGCCATACAGTAGGTGGCAGCTGGTTTTGGGCTCAAAGCTTCGACTCCCTGCAACTCGTCGCATTTGGAGGCCATGCGGTGGATCGGTCTCCTGTTGCTGCTGCCGGGCTCGATGGGAGACCCTGCCTTGTCTGGCCTCACGGCCACGGCCCCGGCCGCCCCGGCCAGAACCGCTGAGGAGCTCCAGAGCCTCGAAGCCTCCTTCCGCGAGGCCGTCAAGGCCGCCGTCCAGGCAAAAGAAGAAGAGGAAAAGAAGGCCAAGCAGACGCCACAGTCCTTGCACAGAGGGCCCCTCGCATCTCGCCCCCCCCTACCGGCAGCGCGCCAAGCACTATGCGCAATTAGGGGGGTGCGGAGAGCGAGCCTCGGTGAGAGCGTCGTTTGGACTACTAAGGTACGTGACGACTCGCCGTCGACAGCCTCAGCAACCAGTGACACGATCGAAGACCCACTGCTCGCCCAATTGCGCGATCTGCGGCGCACGGGCCAAGTCGCTCAGGCTGTGAGACTCAACTGATCCGGGCAGATCCGGGCAGTAGCGAGTCAGTGTTCCCTCCCACAGATGGCAATACGGCAGCAATTGAACGAGTGTTGGGCTCTGAACTCAGAACAGAGAAGCGTCGCCCTTGTTTCGGAGCAAGACGCACGGACCTCAAGTGTGCAGTGCCGTCTTCCTATCAGCTGGTGGCCAATATGCCGGCTGTGATGCCTCTTGGTTGTCGTACGTACCCACCAAAAGCGTGGCTCACGAAAAGGCTTGCCACTTATCAGCGTTGTTTTCTTTGTGCCAATTAGGCAGCTGTCCTCTTTAGCAGCCGTTGCCAGCTGTTTCTCTCTCTCTCTCTCTCTCTCTCTCTCTCCCCGTGAGCCCAGGGCTTCCCATGTCTTTTTACTTGAGTCTGAAGTGGAGAATTTCTACGGGCAAGCGTTGAGTTGATCTGGAGACCCCTGGCAGATGCAGTCTTTCTCGTCATGCGATGCTCATGCAGCCGGTGGTCTTAGCTGTCGCTGATACCACGAGCTGTCCACTCTGACTGTAACTCCTTGCTCTGGTTGGTCGGGCCCAGGTGCTGGCAAACTTGAATGGATGCGCAGCTGGTGCCAGTGTCTCAGAAATAACATAGGATCGAGGACCTGGGACCTATAGGACTTGGCGAGGCCGATTAGAAGCGTCTTTCCAATGATTCCCATGTGGTGATGGATACTTCGCAATGCCTCGTCACTCCAAGCTGTCACTAGTAGCAGAGTCTGCTCAGTGCCATGTGCTCAGTATGCCGTGGCCTCGCCCTCGCAGACATGCGAGCTGTGCCAAGGCTCGAGGACCTCGGGTCGCACGTGAAGGCAGCTCCTTGCAGGTCATGGAGGCAGATCAGGGACCATAGGCTCTTTGTGGTGCAGACTATGGCGACTGCTCTATGAGGTTCCGAATTGTGACCTTAGGATCAAACAGACTCCTGATGGTCGTGGTGGTCCTCAAGAGCCAAGGCGCCATACCGTTGTTTGGGGATCTGTGCCTGCGTGATGTTTTAAAGAAGGCCTCAACGCGTTTCGAGGGTGTGTCAGCTTTGCATACGAAGGTGGCCTCATATTGTCTTTGTGTCAGCGCGGCGGCAACGGCCACAGGAGTTGGGCAGGTTTAGGCGTTGAAGCGCGAATTGGCTTGACACCTTTTCTGTGCATTTTAGCTTGGAAGAAGCCTTGTTTCCAGTGGCTGCTGATTGTCATCTACTTTTTCCACATGGATCAGACGGACCTGAGCTGCCTGGATTCTGCGATTCTTGCGCAGCCGCATCCAGGTTGAGTCCAACGTCACGGCTGTTTCCAGGCCCCCGGGCTGCTGAGGCAACATGAGGTGTTCCATCGCAGCCTCGATGCTAAGCAGTCGTGTCCTGCAGGCATTTGCCACCAAGGCCCTTCCCGAAGTAAGATGCCCGTCATCGCCATGTTTTGGGGCCACTTGCTTGCCACTGTGGTTGTCGCCACAGGCCCGGCTGCTGTTGCGGCCAGCCAGTGCGAGGGCTTCCCGAAGCTGAGTGGAAAATTCTTCCAGGGAGCGGTTGCTTCTATGACAATCCAACGTGAGGACAAGACTCCTCAAACAGCGAGCTTCACGGGCAACAGGAGCGTGGCATTTAGCTACTCCACGAGATCTCTGTTCTACGTGTCGACACAGAGATCTGCCGAGAAAATTTTGCCCGATGGTCATATGGAGTTTCAGGAAGACGGCCGCGTGGTCTACTTTTATGTCATACTGCGTCCGGACCTCTGGGACAAAACTCCAGATACGCTCGACTTGTTCGGAATCAACTATCCTTTCGCCTGCGTCTTTGTGTCGGAGGAGAGTCCAGCAGAGCTTGAGTGCACCGATGTGTTTTCCTTTCTCTTCGTCATGCGGATCAGGCTTCGGTTCGCTCCCGATGGATGCACCCCTGTGGGCTTTGAGGGGTGGCTGACAACGTCGACAGACAATTTTGAGGTTGCACCTGGGCAAGCGAGAACTCCACAAGCTCGCTACTACGATGTCGATCTTGTGGAGACGCCGGGGCCGGAGTTTGCCTTCAATCCAAACGCAGGGCCGGCTGTTCTCCAAGGCCATGGAAGCTTTGGGAAAGCGGTAACTTTCCCGTAGCTTCACTCGAGACCTGGTCAGGCGAAAGCTGGACATCGTCTGCCGACCTCGTCGCACTACTGGAGGCCACCGCTGCGCAAGCCCTCCAAAAGCAACATACTTCGAGCTCGCAATTGCTACAGAATAGCGGTAGATGCCGGAGTTTAATGTTTCGTGATGCAAATCTGATGCAGGAGACGGAGAAGTTGTATGCTGGAGAAGCCTGGATCTTAGAAAGGTTCCGCGGCAAGTTCCGGCAGGGATATCTGCGTGGATTTCTGCTTTCTCATGGTGCCCAAGGACTGGGGTCGGCCCAGCTGGAGAAGAAACAATGGCAACTATGGTGGCTATGGCAGGTATGGTACGTATGGCAACGTTGGTACTTCGACCAGCCATGCGGCTTCTACCACAGCTTCTCCTGATTCGAGCACGGTGCCATCATCCACAACCTTGACCACCTCTGCCGCCACGGCGGCTTGCCCGATTCAAGCACATGAAGATACCCCAGACCCTAAACCCCCTGTAGACGAACTTTGCCGCTGTGTTCCTGGCAGGAGGACTGCGAGTTTCCCACGCTTCCCAGCTCCGTTCGATTTGAGGGTGGGCTGGAAGATGTGTTTGTTGGCTCCCTGAACGTTTCCGGAGATCACGAGATTCGGCAATTGGACGAGTTTGGGGACGAAGCGGTCAATGGGACGGTGTTGTCGATCGTCACCACCGGGCGTCTCGGCAGGTCTCTAAATACACAGCCGCAGAACATGGTCTGCCTGTGTTTGCCAAATTACCGCCTTCAGTGTCTGAACCAGATGACCAATGCGTTTACGCAGGGAACCCTTCAAGGTGTCGAGCGAAGCACATGCACCGCCAAGGGCTTTCAGCTCGTGGGCCTTTTCCGCGACAAGTTTCGCACAATGTTTGGGCCCGCTGTTGTAGACACGCAGCAAGCGCCTGGGCTTGATTTGTTGCAGAGTCCGCAGCCTGCGCCGTCCGAAGCCGGTTTTCCACTGCTCACCAACTTCATTTGTGAGTGGAGCGGCTTTTCGCGGCCACAACGACGTCCGGGACTGTCCGCTACTTTCCGTAACTATGGGTCCTACGACATTCTCTTCCGGGAGTACTATGTGCTGGCTAACAGGACAGATCAGTTTAGAGGGCCAGCAGACGACGGGCGCTACGTTGTTCTGCGGCCGCTGTCTGATCAAAGCGTGGAGTGTGCGTTCGCCAACAACCACACCTTCAGCTGCATCCATGCAGTAAACTGCCTGTCGGTTCATGGCACAGTGGCGGTTGACATGCATTTCACAGTGCAAAGCTTGCAATTTTTCGGGAATAGCGGTGGTTTTTGCTTGGGACAGCCCGTGCCAAGTGACTACGACCGTTTTCTGGACCAAGCGGAATCGCTGCAGTGGATGGGCAAATGCACCGCGGAGCAGGAAGTGACGCAGTTCGAGTTCTGGGTTTGCACATGCGCCGTGGACAACCCGGACACGCTCCTGAGGCCCTGTGATTTGGATTCGATTCCGATCGCTCGGAGCCAAGCGCTCTTCGTGGAGGAGTGCGAGGCGATGAGTTCGGATCCGGGAAGCTGCGCGCAGGAGTTTGCCGATCTCGGGCAGTTCCAGGAGAGACCCGGGAACAGCTACTACGGACGGTTCTTTGTGCCCACGCGGGCCAATTGCGCGCTCTATCGCAGTGTCCGAGACCGATGGCAGAACGGCAGCAGCGATAACAGCGCCACCCCAGCCAGCAGCGCAGGAGTTTCGCTGTGCCCCTCAGTTCCAGATGTGGCACGGGACCTGATTATTTCCTTGCTGGTGTCGGAGCCTGGCGGCGATCCCAGCGGAGTGGAGCTCTACGCCCTCCGCGGCTTTCAGAACGAGACCGTGAGGATCGTGAAGAACTTCGGGGCTTCTTTCGAGCTCAGCTTCGACACAGTCACGCAGGGGAGCTTTTTCACCGTGGGATTTGGGAATGGGACCGCCTTCGAGGAGTTCTTCGGCTTCCAGCCCGACTTTTTGGCTCCGTTCTCCTTCGCCATTGGCCGGGACATCCTCGAAGTCCAGGGCGCGGGCTTCGGGGCAGAGATCTGGCGGCCCGTGGACGCCAACAACACGCCGCTCTTCCAGGCCGACCAGGGCTTCGCAGCCCGCAAAGCCGAAGCTCCGCAGCCGTACGCGCCGGGCTTCCAGCAATGGAGCCTTGCTCGAAGCGTCGGCAGCACGGTGGCTGCACCCTGGGGAAGCTTCTGTGGAACACCGGCGCCGGAGATCCCATGCCCTGCCGTGCCGCCGGACGGGACCGTGCCGGGCCTGATCTTCTCTCTGGTGGTGTCAGACGCGACTGGCGCCGTCGCCCTTGAGCTCTTTGCCATGCGCGAGCTCCGAGATTACAGGCCTTTTCTCTTGGTGGCAAATCCTTTTCTTGGGATCAGTTTTGCCGACTTTCTGGGAGCGAGGAGGAGCATACCTCAAGGTACTTCCATCACCGTTGCTTTCAACACTTCTGACTCGCTCCAACTCATCCCAGGGCAGAAGCCCGACTATCAATTGGACTTCGACTTCGATACCGCCAGTGGCTACTCTTTGCTGCTCTACGATGCTGTTTCCGGAGAGTTCACGGACACCTGGATCTGGACTTTCCAAGGCTTTGCATCTCGTCGGCCCGGGCCTGCGCCGCTTCCTGCCCTTGCCGTCTACTTTGGGAGTGTAGATGGAGTTGAACAGTACTTCGTCTCCAGCAATCTGGCCTCCGTTCCCTGGGGCACTTACTGTGTGACTCCAGCAACTCCCGCTTGTCCTCCGGCACCAAGCGGCGAGCTGCCGAAGATCTTCAAAAATACCGGCAAGATCGTGCCAGGCTTCATCTTCAGAAAACCGGAACCCCACACCTGAAACAGGCCCTAGTTACACCCTCCGTCGCCCTGCAATGACCAGAAAGCCCTACTGTAGTGTAAGCTAGGTCTCGTCTTCTCCCTGATGGTCCTTGGCCCGGACTCAGCTGCGCTGGAGCTTACGGCCCTCCGGGATCTTCGGAATCCAAACCAGAACTTCACGTTGAGCGTTCTCAACAGCAGTCTGTTCGTAACAGCCTTGGCCAACCTTCCAGCACTCGACATGTCTGCAGGCGAGAGGATTTGGATCATATTTACGGAGAACCCGGATCCGTTTGGACTTTTCCCTGGACCCCCTTTTCCACTTGCTCTTGGTGCGCCATTTGGATTCCAGAACCAGAAAGGCGAGATCCTGACATTGGTCTCCGCAGACGAGGTCGAAGACAAGCTTTGGGACAGGTGGGGCATCCCCCGTTCACAGCGACGTGAAGGTGAAGAGTGGGTATTTGGGGAGGGCTACGCTGCCCGCAAGCCTGGGTTGGCGTCAAATTCATGGGAAGGCCTTACCCAGTGGAGCATCACCCAGAATGTGTATGATCCCGCACGTGTGCCCTGGGGCACGTACTGCGTAGGCTGATAGGGCAAGCGGCAACAGATCGCTGCACAGCCAAAAGTGCCGTGACCAAGTTGTTGTGGCAGGTGGTACGGCCAATAGTGCTTCTACCAGGACCACGTTTTGGATAGGAAAATTGAGCCTGCAAGAGTTGATACTGCGCACTGTGCTGCTGCAAGTGTACCTGCAGACAACGAAGCATCGTCATCCATGAAGAGTTTAGACCGTCAACGAAAGTCCGAGAGGCCACCATGTGCTGCCAGGGGCTGAGTGGACCAAACTTTGCAAAAAGAACTTCTTGGGCGCTGTCCCTGACAGAAATCAGTCGAACGTGTTCCGCCTCTCGGTGCTGAGAGTCTAGATTCAGACGATTCAGCATTCAGAGCCTGCCATTGCTCACCTGAACATCTGGCCACCGATCTTTAATTTTGTGCATTGCTGCCAGGGATGAGCACCAAAGAGCGTGCCACGGAGTGAAGTTTTGCATGGGTTCCATAGCCCGGAGCAGCCAGACGTTGTAGGCAATCTTGCGCCCCGCTTCTACTCGCCTCCGCCGACTGCGTACACCTGGTTGGGGAACTGTGCCGTGGAGGAGGATCTGGCGCAATTTGAGTTCGTCATGTGTCGATGCGCATTTGGTTTGAATTTCGAATTACCAGAACGCCCATGTGGTCTGCCGTTCCTGACGCAACCACGCTTCGCTGCTCTTGGCTACGAAGATTGCCGGAGCTATGGACTCGATGAAACCTGCTGCATGTCTCGAGTTTTGGGAGCCTACTCCTTCTACTCCTTCCGTCCTCCGCTGCAAAGTGACTGTGACGAGTACCAAACCTTTAAAGGCAGGGTTGCCAACGGCACCGCCTGCTCCTGAAAAGCTGTCGATATACATAGAGCGCATCGCTGCAAAAGACAGCTGTTTTGGTCGCGCACGAGACGTTGACGGAGTGCAGGTGGCTAATTGCCTACTCCGTGTTTCGGAAAAGACGCGGCTGCCATTTCGCAATCCAGTGACCTGACCCGACCTGCCTTACAACCGCTTGTGACCGCTGGCCGTTTTACGTTTGACTCAAGCTCATGAGCCGTTAGCACATTTAGAGCAGCGTTTTTGGTTCATCGATTCTGGTTCGATGCACTCCGGCCAGATGGTTGCTTCAATCGCAGCAAGTACTTATAGATCCGTATTGATATGGGTTCAAAAAGAATGTACAAAATTCACAACAAGTCGGGCACCGCCATATGCTTTGCCAGCAGCCGCTTGAGTCTATGCAATATCCGTACAGTAGAATAACAAAGTCTGCCATGGAATTGTGCTCATGGCCCCAAAGCTGCAGATGGTGGCATCACGCAGAAATTCGGTGCGTTGCCGCGATGGGCTAGAACGATGCTCAGTTGACATCTCTTTGCAATCTTCCCAGTGTGTGCCTTTTGCACCTGGACGGATGACGCTCACCCCGGTTCGTGATTGAGGCTTTAATCGCAGTGAAGCTAGTCCTGGCAGGCTTTGTAGTGCCTCGAGCTTACACACGTTGTGCAAGTGTCTACAGTTTCGGCAAGTTGCAGCGGACTTCGCTGAATTCAGGTTGTGTGGACAAGTGCTTAAATGCTTTGTACTGCCCGTCGCTGTCTCCAAAGTTGCCGATCTCTCAGTTCCTGATTCTTCTTAGCTCATCGTGGCGCGGTTGTGCACATGTTCGTATGGTAAGGTGAGACCTCCAGACGGGCAACGAATTAGAGGCCCGCAAAACTGAGTTGAAATTGCAAGTGCAGGATGCCGCTTCATTTCAACGATGGACAAGCACCGATGCATGACATGAAACCTTAATAGGTCAGTAGATGCCGAACAGATGTCGAATTGTTTTATCAGTGTCATCGCAGAAGCGACCTCGTTACGCGGTTCGTGCACTAGAACTCGTACTGGTTCCGGTTCCATGACAGGTGGTTTATTGACGGCTCGTGCCGCACGCTCAGAGGCCACCGCCTCTCCTGCAAACCAAGACTGACGGCTGTGGGCTGATGAACTTTGTCCTGAAGTGGTAAGTAGTGTGCAGCTTGCAATCATTGCAACTATTCGAAATCAAACAGAAGACACGTACAGACTGTTCCTGCTTGATGCACCGATTGGCTGGCAGAATGCAGATGATGCCAACAATGATGAGGCCGAGACTGCAAATGCCTGCAGCTTTGTAAACATGTCCGGCATCGTTTGGCATTCTGGGGGCCTGTTTATTTTTTTGGTTAATTTCTGTTCATAAAACTCACCCGACCCAGTGAAGCCAAGATGTGTCACAATATATATATATATATATATATATACATATATATCTATATTTACGAATATATGTATGTATTCGTGTTTGCGGGTTCACGAATCGCCAGGTGTCCAAAGAACTGCGTCTTGCACAGGAACGTCTAACAAAAATCTGGAACGAGGCCAACACTTTGTGCAAGCCTGGATGTCCATGCAGTGCGAGAGTCATTGTTTGCGTGTGTGTGTGTGTGTGGGTGTGGAGTTTTGTGCGTTCGGACAGCATCGGCATGCGCAGGGAGGTGGCTCGACTGCCACTTCCTTCTCCGTGTCACCGTCAGGTTCACAGGGCAACTTCTGTGCAAATCTGGGTCACCACCATTAGCGGCCCATGGTTTAGCCGGCTGTGACTAGTCTCAGCTGGGGCCGACTCGGACGGATCCTTGCAACTCACGGTGGAGGTCTAGATTTTGACAGTGAGAGCAGCTGACTTGCACATGACAGGTGCCGACTGGACGGTGGAGAGGCAGCACCTTTAGATGAGAGAAAGGGCACTGCGTGCCACAGTGGGGGAGTCTTTCTTTCCATGTGCTTGCTTTTTCCTTGTGGCAACTCGCGAAAGGCTGCAACTTTCACAGGGGCTGCCCCCAGCTGGAAGCGTTTCCGCCTCATGTCTGCTGCAGCACTTGGCGCATCCGGACCTGAAGCACCTGCGACATGTTGATTTGGGAGTCGTTAAATCGTGTAAGCTGAACTTGCAGGGAGATTAGACATGGGGCCGGGCGCCCGACCCAGCACTGACGAGAAGCAGGTCCTTTTGGCTGATCCACGCTACTTCTTCTCGGAGGACGGTGGTCCGGCAGCACTTCGGACTGGGTCGTGCCCTGAGCGTGCAGCACTACTGGCACAAAGTTTATACACGAGCCAGTCTTTCTTTGTTGGTTTAGTCGTTGTACATATCATATACGGACAAGATGAGATGATAAATGCGTGAGGTTCTTCATGTTGATGCTAAACCGTTCTTGTCGCCGGGGTATCGAGTAACTTGCCACTGCTAGCAACAATACATGACCCCGCTGCCAACAACAACATCAGAAAGCACGACCAAGACACTCTGATCATGCGCAGGCTCTCAGTGTTCGAATCGAGGTGCGTGTGCAGGGATTGCTCTTGCGGACCTGTGAGGGCCACCGACATTCCCAGAGTCCAATCATCCTAATCTCGAAAAGCGCCCAATCTCCTCAGTGGATGTGCCCACCAGAAACCATGTCGCTGCGCTCTAGTCATGTTGAAACATGGCATATATACTTGTGACTGATCAATATTGCAGCGGGGCTCCAGTCGGTGTCAACAAACATCGTTTTACCCATCTGCACATTTCATCGAAATAGCTCCATCATACCCCAAAACAGGATGCCGAGATGTCGGCCAAAAATGGATGCACATGCATTTTCATCGTTATTCAATGCGCTGTGCCGATACCTCGATAGCTTGTGGAGACACCTACCGGTTTTCATGATGAGAGCTGTTACTGCTACTACTACTACTACTACTACTACTACTATTTCTACTACCACTACTACTACCACTACTACCACTACTACTACCACTACTACTACTACTACTACTACTACTACTACTACTACTAGTACCACTACTGCTACTACTACTACTACTACTACTACT